TCTCACAACCTCTTGCAACCTCTCCCTCCATATCTCACTTTTCGTTTCCCATCTTCTCCTCACCAATCAGAAAAATAACTCACCAAAAACAGAATACTCAGACCACGAATGTTGGCAACCACACATGTTACAGGTACAAATGTGATAGGTACAACAGAGACAGGTACAAATGTGATAGGTACAACAGAGACAGGTACAAATGTGATAGGTACAACAGAGACAGGTACAGATGTGATAGGTACAACAGAGACAGGTGCAAATGTGATAGGTACAACAGAGACAGGTACAAATGTGATAGGTACAACAGAGACAGGTACAAATGTGATAGGTACAACAGAGACAGGTACAAATGTGATAGGTACAACAGAGACAGGTACAAATGTGATAGGTACAACAGAGACAGGTACAAATGTGATAGGTACAAAAGAGACAGGTACAAATGTGATAGGTACAACAGAGACAGGTACAAATGTTATAGGTACAACAGAGACAGGTACAAATGTGATAGGTACAACAGAGACATGTGCAGCTATGATACGAACAATGATAGGTGAATTACTGGGCAGCTGGTTAAATAGTAGTGTATTATTTACATACTTTAAGAAAAGTATTTATTTTCTCCTTTTAGTGCATTGTTACGTAAAATCATGTTATTAAAACATTTTTATACATTTTTTGATTAACCAAAATCAAGATCAATTTGAAAGTTTTAAATACGATTATAAATATTTTTTCACTTTTTAGTTTCCAAGTACCATTTTAATACCAAAAAAATAGTATAAACTAGCCATCGGTAACCGTTACACGTGAATTATAGACCTATATCTTTTAAATGTTATACTTTTTTACTTTCTCGTATATACGAAGTATAGAGAAAGTATTGTAATCGTGCAAAAAAAAAATCGAGATTTTTACAAATCTCGACGTTTTACACCTCACTGATACGGAAAAACATAATTTTGCAATCTTGTCCGTATGTCTGTGTGTGTGTGTGTCTGTCTGTCTGTCTGTCCGTGTGTAAACACGATAACTTGAGTACCGTTACAGCTAGGTTGATAAAATGTCATATATAAGTATTATATCAAAATCGTAGATCCGTATCAACTTTTGAGCGATTTCCGATAACCGGAAGTGGTACTTTTTCTACTTTGAATTTTTCAAAAGCCTATAACTTGAGTACTAATTCAGATAGATAAATGAAATTTCACATGTAAGGAAAAGATCTAATTCTCTACCTTCTATCAAATTTTGAGTAATTTCCGTTGACCGGAAGTAGTAATTTACGCTACTTCCGATTTCTCAAAAAACTAATGTAAATTTTAAAAGTACTAATAATATTGCGCACTATTATGCGCTTTTTTATTTCGCGTTCACTTGGTGTGCAATTAATTTGTCTACGAGATTTTATTCTATTTTTAAAACTTTAAATATTTAAAATGGATTAAAAATCATGTCTATAACCCGAGTTCCCATCCCCTGTTATTTTATATAAAAATATTCGAGAAAGTTTAGGGGAGATCACTCCCGGTTTATTTAGGAATATAGTTTATAAAATAGTGCTTCACCACAAGTTGAACGATATCAGTAACATAGCAAAAAATAACTAAACAGCTAAAAATCCGACAAATTTAATATAACATAGGCTACTAATACCTATTGGAAAAATTAAAACCAAATTATATACATTATTAGTCAACACAACACCAAATTAAATGCACACACGAAGAGATGCCTGGAAGAGACTCTGATTTCGAGAGCGACACCAATGTGAAAAACACTCAAATTTACAGTCAATATTATTCTTTATCCAGTTAAACTTAAAATGAAATTTTAGGGGAGAGGGGTGACACCAAACCAAAAAATGTAAAATTGTAAGAAGGCGGAGGAGGGACTCCCTCAGCTACCACCCCGAGTGTCACCCGATATAGTGTCGCCGCTGACTAAAGCAAATTACGTTAATGTATGCAGACAACATACAGAACAAACTTTACATTTTAATGCACAGCAGAGGCGTAGCGAGGGGGGGGGGGGGCGGGGGGGGGGGACATATGTCCCCGGGCGCCGACCTTAGGGGGGCGCCCAATTGAAAGTTTGAGGGGGGGGTGCAAATGAAAAGTTCGAGTGGGGGTGCAAATCGAAAGTTTGAGGGGGGTGCAAATGAAAAGTTCGAGGGGGGTGCAAATCGAAAGTTTGTCCCCGGGCGCCGGGAGGGGTCGCTATGCCTCTGATGCACAGGCCTACTTATAAAGAACTGAAAATATTACACGTCATGTAATGTACTCTAATATAAAAATTTTGCCATGGGGCTGATAAAAAGTGAAATTTAATGACCAAGGACAGTCAGATTTACAACAAGAAGACATTACTCATACAAAATTACATTACACTTCTGGAAAGGCTGTTGAAACTTGCTGTATAAAACAAAATTTGACTTAAAACTATACAATTTTCGAATCCTGATCTAGATTTTGTTCTATCTCAAAAGTGAAAAACTACATTTTGGGAGATAGAACAAGATAACACTAGGGATATGCTTACATAGATTTTTAAAATCAAATTTTTCTCATAGTCGCTCATCCTTCACCCCAATTCATTTCCAACCTTGCACGCAATAGGCAACCCAATGGAGTAGCACATTAATTATAGCCTGGGGTGGGGGGGGGGACATCGGTGCAAGACGAAATAGATAAAATATTGAATTTAAATAATAAGAACATGTATAGATCTACCTCAAACTTTATTATACGTGCACCCCCCCCCCCCCCCTCCTCACCCTTACTGAGCAATGTCTTAATCCTGCCTTTCGTCTGCTTCACTATTTTGGGATATCAACGTTCCTTCGGTTCAAACAGTGAATTTGTTTACCAGCGGTGATTTAGGCTTCCAACCAAAATTATTTTCACCTAAAATCTCTCAAACGAAAGGTATATTATTTAGCCTACAAATGAACCTATGTAGAGATCTAGATCCCACTTAGGGGTCATCCATAAATGACGTCACGCTTTTTTGGACGATTTTTACCTCACAAAAAGCCGGACCCCCGCCCTAAAATGACGTCACACCTCAGCCTACAACCCCCACCCCCCCTCCCACTCAAAATTGCAGTTGGAATTTTTTTTTAAACAGCTATATTTTTCCAAAATCTTGTCTGAACTCTGTCAAAATAGAGAATTTTAATCAATTATTATTACTATTTATTAAAACAGTTTTCTAAAACGCAAAATAACGTCTAAAATTCGTTTTCTAACATTGCTTTTTTATAATGCAAAAGTGTGACGTCGCACCATCTGAACCCCCCCCCCCCTCTCCCCCTCATCACACACCGTCACAAAGTTACGGACACCCACTCCCCCCTACGAGTGTGACGTCATTTATGGATGATCCCTTAGGCCACTCTGTTTCATCTACTGTTTTGTAGAGAGAAAGAAATTTTCCCCGTAGCTCATGTAGGCTATTCCGCAGTTATGCGAGTCACCATTCATTGTTATGCAGATTGTAATCGAATACATATTTTTGTATGTGTGAAATGTATTCAACTGAAATTTATGTGCATGCATAATAATTTTACTTACTCTCCTTTATTTATATTGTGGGTTTTTTTTTTTTAATTATTGGCTCCTTCCAAATCAGAATACTTGAGGTGACATCCGATAAATAACCCCACTCACTTATAACAGGGCGGGGGGGCTGATTTTGGGACGATGGGCTATGCAATGGTACTGTGGGAAAAGGACGGTTAAACATAAATTAGGCTATTCCGAAAAGAAAAAAAAATTTGAGAAAAAAAGTTATTTTTTTAAGACTTGCTTGATCGGGGGGGGGGGTGTCTTGCTTTTTCGGATGACGACAGTGGGGGGGGGGGGGTAAAATTAACCTAAAAAAAAGCTGCCGTCAAATTCGGACGGCCACAAAACTGGAGTTAACGAATTATTCTTACAAATCCTACAGCCTACAATAGAGGTTTTTTAGTCTGGGTTCGATCGAACCCGAGGGGTTCGGTGAGTATATGTGGTTCCGCGGGTCAATACTTACCCGACTTATATGATTTGCGATCGGAGTTTGTCAGTGCGGACGATAAAACTGCGGCCGATGACAGTTCAATACGACAGCGCGACAACACGACTCAGTATTAAAGTGTGCCAGAGCGAGATAACTCGTATCGGTATCGTGAAATTGCTATATCGTGGAACCTTTAACGTAACGACATACATACGTCACTAATTGTGTCAACGCCTAGGGCCGGCGCTACCGAACTAGGCGGTCGCCTAGGGCGCTATCCATAGGGGGGGGGGGGCAAAAATGTATAATCGCCATTATTAAAAAGTACCTAATAATTAATAACTTTGATTATATTATATAAACTATAGACTGGGTAATATACAAAGGTATAGCGATTTATTTCGGTGCCCAGGACGAAATTTCAATTTTGTGCCCCCTCTTCAAATTAGGCCTATATGTTGTTATTCTGTTATTCGCGTTGATGAAAATGCACCCACACCTCTCTCATTTGGAAAGGTCGGGGCGCTGTTTACCAGTCAATTTGCCTTTTTAATTGGTGTCACAAAATTGATGTAGAAAAAATAATAATTCCGTAATACCAAGTAGTCGACACTCTTTATTTCGACTGTATACAATTCAGTGATGAGTTTTTGTATTATTATCTACCACGTTTGGCGCCCCTTCGGGTCGGCACCTATGGCGGCCGTCCCACCCGCCCTCCCAAATGCATGTATCTGTTAATATAATGAGAAAATTATTGTATTTTATCTAAATCTTTTAATCTCGAACATTTAGATACCCCATTCGTCTTATATGGCTGGTAAGTAGGTCACTAACCAGTTCTATGGCTCATGCAGAACTGGTTGGTGACCTACTTACCAGCTCTATAGGCCTATAAGAAAACAATGAATGGTTTGATTCCTTACGACATTTAGCTTTACTTTTTTACCTCCCGGTATAGAAGATTTTTATTGATTTATCATGCCTATGGCTGACTAACTAAGCTTTATCTCATGATGTATTATATAAATTCATATAGGTCTAGATCTATCTAGGTCGTTATTATTATTAATTTTCATCTTAAGTGTTGATATTTACTTAGGCCTAGCTATAGATCTCTAGAATTCTAGATCTACTACTCGAGGAGTGAGTGTAGTGTAGGCCGGGAGTAGATCTAGGTCTAGTAGTAGGGCAGGGTCCTAGTCCTAGCCTTGCAAAGTCAGGAAGGGCAAATCAAAATCTGATCAAAATCAGTTTCATAATGAATTAGTTTCTAAGTATCTTGATCTAACTGCAAAGACGACAAAGAGCTTCGTTTGTGAAACTTTAACAACATTATAATATATTATCACTCATTCCTGTGTTTGTGAAAGAATGAATGCTCATCAGCATCAGGTGAGTCTTCTTACTAATTTTAATTTAGCTATTATTAGTTATTAGTATTAGTAACTACGTAGTCATTAGGCCTAGTTCAGTAATTAAAAGATAAATTTTCTTGGTGTTGGGAAATTGCGAGACGCAAAATGGCTAGGCGGTAAACTGCGAGTAGGGCGTGAAAACCGTCGGTCACGTGACATTTTTGCCTCGCATTTTACAATCAAATATTTACGCAGCGTGGTCTTAGGATGCAAATCTATCTGCGGAAATTTTACAGCGACCAATTTACAGTGATATTTGATGCAGACTTCATCAAAGACGTTTCGTTTACACCTACACTGTCGCTAGACATTCTGGTGATTTGTCAACTTCACCAACTTTTGTGTTGACTTAAAATACCACTTTGTTCAAAACCCCCGAAATACAGCAACGATAGATCAACTTATTTCTTTTGTGTAGAACACTGAGGCCGCCTGCCGCCACAAACGTAATACATATATTTATTGTTGCAAAGTAATTTTGCTTTATTACGTAGCAGAATCTGAGTAATTTTTTTAAAAATACGGCGGAGAAGAGGGGAAGGCTGTATACTCAATGAAACAGAGTGAAAAATAATTTACCAAGGTATTGACCTTAAATGACGTTGCAACATGCGGGTATACTTTTTCCCCTCAAAAAATCAATGTAGTATGATGTTAAGGTCATGCAGTATCTTGTCACGATGTGACTTAATTAGTAAAAGTGGGACAGCTCAAAATGTATACCAACCTAAAGTTTTTAAATGCACTGACTGTGACACCTAAAGTTTTTACATACACTAACTGTGACACCTCAAAAGGCCATTTATTGAGCAGGCAAGATGCGGACGACAATGCTTAGAATTTTTAATATCTAGATATAGATTTTAAAAATATTGTCTAAAATTACATTCTCTTTATGAACTCACACTGACCGGTTTATAGAGATGGGATTTTTGCTCCCGCTGACAAGAAAACGAGAGCTTCGGTCATAGGATTTTAAGATTTTTAAAATATAGAGATCTATATAGGGCCTATATATAAAAAATCAAAACTAGGTTTTAAAAAAAGAACAACCCACAACGTTCATGATATATCAGCTTGTTTAGTTTATAACTAAAATGCAACAAATTTTTTTTGCAAACTGTGTCTCGCAATTTACCAGTGATTCCGCAGGTATGTCTTGCATTTTCTTCTCACAGTTTACCGCCTCGCCCTTTCGCTTTTTGCATCTCGCAATTTCCCAACACCCAAATTTTCATGCCCTAACTAGTCATCCAAACTACTTTAAGGACTGAAAGGAGATTTTGATGGGGGCATTTAGGGGGGAGGCCCCCCCCCCCCCCCCCCCAAGAGATGCCTGTAAGAAACACTGTCCAGGACAGGGTTTTGTTCTGCCAGGGATACAAAGTGATGACTCGAAATATCATCCCTTTTAATAATTAAAAATAATAAAATATCGACACAATGAATAGTAGGGTCATGCTAACTACTAACTATGGGGCACATAGCAAATATTTTAATTTTAGACCCCTTTCTAGTAAGGTTTATTGGCCCCTGCATTTGGCTGTCATGTAACTGTGTGAAATAAATGCTGCTCTATTCTCTCATTAGCCTTACATGATCTGTCTTAATTAATGAGGTGTTAACTAGTTTAACATCTGGGGAGAGGTGACAAAATAGGCTTCAATTTTTATACATGTCACTCTTATTTTGCTAGATAACTGGTCTTACTGGAATGTTAAAAAGAGTTCACAATCTCTCATCTTCAGCAAGAAAAAAATTAACACAGATAGTTTCCGCTTCTTCAATGTTAAAGGTCAGCAGGTCACTTGAGATGATCTAATGAACTCCTCATTATGATTCACATAATAGATTCTGACTATTAAAAGTAAGACACAGTCACCATATAGGCCTGTTGTGGCTTCTCAGACCTGGAAGAAACTCTGGTACTGTGGCAACACATGTGTTGAGCCATGCAGGGAGAAGTCTTGCTAGTCAGACCCAGGTGTCATCACTTCTACTTGTTGTATGGTTCGGCCAACCCAGTTTCATCTTGAAAGATGACTGTAGAGACTAGATCATTACTATACTTTACTACTCTATTATAATAAATTATTGGACATTTTAACAGAACTTCATGATGGCAGTTGATTTATATATACACCACTGTCAAGTTATCCTGGTTTGAGATGTTTTAAATCACCAGTACATTTTGATAGAGCTGCACACATTTCTCTGTTAAATAGATCTTTGGCAGGCCACCGTCGTATGTTTGTGGCTGTATTAGTACAAGATCTTTGCTTGTTAAAATAATATCACTTTGTAGTATTTTTTAATTGATGTAAACAGTTAAAGCAATGAAACTTTTTTTTACTTCAGAAGAACTCGGAATCAAATACTGATACTTATGGGTACTCATCATCTGAGTTTATTTATCAAACAGCGTCATGGGCTGATACATCGGCACCACAGCTTAGTAAGGTAAGTGCTTCTAGTGCTTGTTAGTTAGCCAGCAGAGATACTAATTAAGTCATTAGATGGCTAATCCATAGAATTAAGATCTATTTTGATTGCATTTTTTTTAAAAATACTGATCTGTAACAGAAATGGTGTTTGTTATTATTGACTCAGAACGTTTAGAATCTCTGCCTTCTGTTTGAAATGTGGCCAAGCATAGTGTACCTACAATGTTGTCTTTTATTCTGTAGGATAAATTTAATGCTACTTAATTTGTGTGCTTCATTTTTTTCTCTTGATATTATGAAGTAAAGTTTGATCTTGCCTTACTCTGTAGTTTGACATAGAGTTACATAAAAGATGGTGATATTATGAAGTAAAGTTTGATCTTGCCTTACTCTGTAGTTTGACATAGAGTTACATAAAAGATGGTGATATTATGAAGTAAAGTTTGATCTTGCCTTACTCTGTAGTTTGACATAGAGTTACATAAAAGATGGTGATATTATGAAGTAAAGTTTGATCTTGCCTTACTCTGTAGTTTGACATAGAGTTACATAAAAGATGGTGATATTATGAAGTAAAGTTTGATCTTGCCTTACTCTGTAGTTTGACATAGAGTTACATAAAAGATGGTGATATTATGAAGTAAAGTTTGATCTTGCCTTACTCTGTAGTTTGACATAGAGTTACATAAAAGATGGTGATATTATGAAGTAAAGTTTGATCTTGCCTTACCCTGTAGTTTGACATAGAGTTACATAAAAGATGGTGATATTATGAAGTAAAGTTTGATCTTGCCTTACTCTGTAGTTTGACATAGAGTTACATAAAAGATGGTGATATTATGAAGTAAAGTTTGATCTTGCCTTACTCTGTAGTTTGACATAGAGTTACATAAAAGATGGTGATATTATGAAGTAAAGTTTGATCTTGCCTTACCCTGTAGTTTGACATAGAGTTACATAAAAGATGGTGATATTATGAAGTAAAGTTTGATCTTGCCTTACTCTGTAGTTTGACATAGAGTTACATAAAAGATGGTGATATTATGAAGTAAAGTTTGATCTTGCCTTACCCTGTAGTTTGACATAGAGTTACATAAAAGATGGTGATATTATGAAGTAAAGTTTGATCTTGCCTTACCCTGTAGTTTGACATAGAGTTACATAAAAGATGGTGATATTATGAAGTAAAGTTTGATCTTGCCTTACTCTGTAGTTTGACATAGAGTTACATAAAAGATGGTGATATTATGAAGTAAAGTTTGATCTTGCCTTACTCTGTAGTTTGACATAGAGTTACATAAAAGATGGTGATATTATGAAGTAAAGTTTGATCTTGCCTTACTCTGTAGTTTGACATAGAGTTACATAAAAGATGGTGATATTATGAAGTAAAGTTTGATCTTGCCTTACCCTGTAGTTTGACATAGAGTTACATAAAAGATGGTGATATTATGAAGTAAAGTTTGATCTTGCCTTACTCTGTAGTTTGACATAGAGTTACATAAAAGATGGTGATATTATCAAGTAAAGTTTGATCTTGCCTTACTCTGTAGTTTGACATAGAGTTACATAAAAGATGGTGATATTATGAAGTAAAGTTTGATCTTGCCTTACTCTGTAGTTTGACATAGAGTTACATAAAAGATGGTGATATTATGAAGTAAAGTTTGATCTTGCCTTACTCTGTAGTTTGACATAGAGTTACATAAAAGATGGGACCACGCCATGAGTACAGGTGTGTTCCGTTATAACATTGACCACATTGTGACACGCATATTGCCTGGGGATAAACACTATGTAGGGCAGGTGAGTTCATATTTTTATTGTATACCATGGACTGTATTTGGACATGTGAGTTCATATTTTTATTGTATACCATGGATTTTATTTTGCACTGGGAATGGATGATGATTAGAACATATGCCTAAAAGTTTTCATTCAACTTAATCAAAAACTAAAACATGTAGGCTTGCTCTTTAGGGTGTTAATTGTTTTTTTAACATCCAAAATATGATTTTTAATAGTTGCTGCCCATAGACATTACATTACACTGTGTTGGCCTAGTCTTATTAGACTGAAACATCTGAAGTGTGAATTAATTACCCATTTTTAATATATTTCTAGAACCGTTTTGAAACTACTATATTATATGTATATATTTTGTTTTAGCCAAATACTGTATTGTAGAAACATAACAAGCAGAAGCTTGTTCTCAATTCTTTAACTGTATAGTGTTGAACAATGAAGTTATTTTCAAACAATTAATACATTACTTCTAGCTGATAGTTAACTGTGACATTTAATATACTTATAGCTGAATGAAATAACTGTGACATTTAATATACTTATAGCTGAATGAAATAACTGTGACATTTAATATACTTATAGCTGAATGAAATAACTGTGACATTTAATATACTTATAGCTGAATGAAATAACTGTGACATTTAATATACTTATAGCTGAATGAAATAACTGTGACATTTAATATACTTATAGCTGAATGAAATAACTGTGACATTTAATATACTTAAAGCTGAATGAAATAACTGTGACATTTAATATACTTATAGCTGAATGAAATAACTGTGACATTTAATATACTTATAGCTGAATGAAATAACTGTGACATTTAATATACTTATAGCTGAATGAAATAACTGTGACATTTAATATACTTATAGCTGAACACACTACGCGCCACTGAAAGAAGGAAACCTCAGGTGATCACAAGTGTCAAACAGCCGTTCAACCCTGATGCCTTTAACTTCACCTGGGTCAAGCCAGAAGAAGTTATTTTTAACTTGAAGAACTTGGACACATCCCAACCACAACACCCCCAGTCTGGGTGTAATGGGGAGGTGTCATGTAATGGAACAGCAGCCTCACACCATGTAAGTAATAGGGATAGTGTAATTAGAATATAAATCATGAAGTCTTCAGTTCAAATAGCTTATGGCCTAAACCTTTGAATGTTATTTGTGTAACTTTGAGGTTATACTTCATGATGTTACTTGTAAAGTTTATACCATATTATCTATTTTTAATTCAGATATTGAATCTAAATATGTGTTGATTTATACTAGTTTATTGTCTAATTATATTTTATTTGGACTCATAATTTTTAGCGCAATTTCCATACTGGGATTGCGATTATTAACTCGTCATTTCTGGATGGATGGATGGATGTGTGTCCGCAGCTTTAAGTCGTATCTCCTCCTCAACGAAGCAATATCGAGGACTAGTTCCAAAAGCAAATATGTTAAGCAAGTTCCGAGGATGAACATAGGCCAAAAAAATTCCCGGAATTCCTTTCTGGATTTCCCGGAAAAGCCAAAAAACCTCGAACAAATGCAGTTTTTGCTCCATATCTCGGCAACCAGACCACTTAGCGACTTGAAACATTTACCAATCAATTCCTGCCATAATTTAGAACAATATTGCTGAAGAAAGTTTTCAAAAATATCCTTTCGTTCGGTCACATCTTGTAGGCCTAGGAAGAACATTTAAACTGAGCATCGTGTAGGCCCAGTTTCCCCTTTGATGCGTAAATGGACGCGTTCTGTGGTACACGCTGCCATTGGCCAGATCACGCGAGGGGGCGGGGACTAGCTCTGCTCGTGTGGAAACGAAAAGGGGTGCAAACATCTATGGGTGATTCGTTCGGTCACAAAAAATTAATTAAGGAAATTGCGCTTAAATTGTCACTAGACTTTTTATTAACTTGTTTTTTAATAGCTAGATAGACACGATTTTAAACACATGTTTAAACACATTTTCAAACACATGTTTAAGCATATTTGACTCTGGGAAATGTTTTGTACAGCCAACAGACAGCCAAGGTGCACTAGAGAGCCACGGTGCACCAGACAGCCAAGGTGCACCAGACAGCCAAGGTGCACCAGAGAGGCACACACTGGTAGTGAATGTCAGCCCAATGGAGTACGGCCATTGTCTGTTGGTACCACAGATAGACTCACACCAGCCACAGGTAAGTTAACCTTTGTGGCCAGCACTAACAGACACACACCAGCCACAGGTCAGTTAAGCCTTTTTGTCCTGCAATACCAGAGTACCAACCTATAAGTTTAATTTTATAACATCAATGGATAGTTTGTTTTTAGAGTAAAACATGTTCTTCATTATCTTTTCCCATTTGTCCCCAAGACACATGGGGCAGAAGTAGTAGAGTTTATCTGATACGTTGACCTCGGCACACAAGGGGATAATGTGTTCAGCACTATGCCCAGCTGCCTTATTGCCCTAACGTGAGTTGGGTACCCAACGGAGCTGGGTGGACTCAGGTACTTTACTTACTTGAACCTGGCTTCGAACTCGAGACTTTCTGGTTAGCAGTCCAGCTCTCTACTCTAGGCCATGCCATCCCATAAAACATGTACATACTAACCCCAAAAAATGTCCTGTGGTTTTTTCTGGGCATTAGTCAGTGGGTCATTCTCAGCCTAATTAATAATGATCAGACTGCTGTTCTCAAATTAGTACATCCTTGATGAGTATTTTTCTCTAATTGTAATTAATGTGTAGTGTCACCTGCTTCACCTGGCCAACATGTAAATGTACCTGTATGTTTCACCTGGCCAACATGTAAATGTACCTGTATGTTTCACCTGGCCAACATGTAAATGTACCCGTATGTTTCACCTGGCCAACATGTAAATGTACCTGTATGTTTCACCTGGCCAACATGTAAATGTACCTGTATGTTTCACCTGGCCAACATGTAAATGTACCTGTATGTTTCACCTGGCCAACATGTAAATGTACCTGTATGTTTCACCTGGCCAACATGTAAATATACCTGTATGTTTCACCTGGCCAACATGTAAATGTACCTGTATGTTTCAGATCCTGACTCTGGTGTCTATACAAGTGGCCCTTGAGACTATGCTATTGAGCAGACACAGGTAAGTCACCCATAAGAACCTTCTGTCGTGGTTTTGACTACTTTACCTCTTTGATAATAATTTTTGTCTTTTTTTACAAGTTTATCCCCATGCATTCTGATTTAAGACCCGTTTGTATGTCTGTTTTTGTTTTGGCCCATAGTTAAACAATTTCTGTTAGAATGTTTATAGCTAGACATAAACGAAGTTCAATTTTCAAAATATTTTCTACTTGAACTGTTCAAGATTGTCTACTAATGTATAAGAAAAATTGCTTTTGAAAAAGGAGTTAGATCAACTTTAGAATTTAAACTTTATTTTTTATTTAGTTTGTGTTTCCCTATCAAACCTATCAAATTGTTAATTTTTTCCTTTAGTTTCCAGTATTTGGTCAATTAATGTTATTAAATAGTGGAATGTCTTCAATAAAAACTTAAAGAATTTAAGAAAATGAAAAAAAAAACTATTGGTATTAGTAAAGACAGTAAAGTAGTAAAAAAATTATTGCGATATTTCGTATTTTGTTGGTTGAATAGTTTTAATCCAGGATACATTAAGTTTTCATACAAATAGAAATATCATTCTATGGTGTTTTTGTTTTGTGGTAGTTATAAGTAACTCATTACATTGTTAGTTTAAATTATTTTATAAAGGATTATGGAAAGATTCATTCAGTCCTAAATTTTTATCTCCCACATGGATATATGGATTGACAGAGGCTTAGTTAGCTTAGCCCCAGCTGTTTTAAAAAGTAGGTTTAGAGGTTGATTGCCATGTTAAAAAGTAGGTTTAGAGGTTGTTTGCCATGTTGAAAAGTAGGTTTAGAGGTTGTTTGCCATGTTAAAAAGTAGGTTTAGAGGTTGTTTGCCATGTTAAAAAGTAGGTTTCTTTGTTTCAGGGGTTTCCGCATGGGTTACAACAGTCTTTGTGCCTTTGCCTCTGTCAATCATCTACATTTTCATGTATACTATTTAGAATATCAGCTGATAGTTGACTACTGTGTAAGTGTAAATGTTCTATTGCGAGGGCCACTGTGGTACAAGTGGTTTCTAATGCTATGTGTACACTGGGACTTTTTTTTTAAAGCTTATCTAAAGGCAATTATATAAGCTTTAAAGTAGTTTTAGTAGAACTTGTTTCTTTGTTTTTTCTCCTCATTTATTAAAATTATTATGCTTTTTTTAAAAATAAATTAATTAAAACTAACTTAAATATCAATAACATATACTGTTAAAGACAAATTATAAGTTAATATAGGTAAGTGAAATTTGAAGATTTCAATTCTTTGCTTAGTTAACTACATTGGTATGCTTTGAATTTTGCTTATCGGATATTTATTATTTTGCTTTTGTTCAAATGATTGATGATATAACATACAGTAAGAAAAAAACATAACTATTTTAACCCATTTTATTGAATTGTACCTTTTTCTGTTGCATATAACACTTAATTATTTTAATAACATGATGTATCATTGGGGCCAGAGTTCATGTTAATAAACCATTTGTTTAATGCCAATACTATTCACTACTAACTCACTGTCTGCGTTCAACCAAATTATTCTTAAAATTTAACTAGTTCTGATGATAAATAAAAGATTTTTTTAACCACATTATTCATATAACTACAACCTTTGGCATTACAGAAGGGACATAACTCCCACTCAGAGTCCTGTTATAAATTAGTGACTTAATCATAACTGTACAACTTACCTCATTCAAATTTGTGCTTTCTACATAAATATGGTTTAATTAACATAGGATAGGAAATCAAAGTCTTCAGACTAGGTGGCACAGTGGAAAAAAATAAAGATAGTTGTTTTTGTTTCTTGGAATTAGTTGGGTGATTATTGTTGTACTGTTTATATTTTTGTCTCTCCAGCCTGTGAATCATCTGGGTGGAAAAATTTATGAAATAACTGCCATCCCATGCCCTGGGTTTGTTCTACAGCTGCATAACAGTTCAGTCCAAGAGATGGCTAGGTGAGTCAGTTTTAGAACAGGTGATGAGGGCGAGACAGGTAAAAGTACAGTTAATGAAGTTTCAAAAAATTTTCTATTCCGAATCCTTTGAATATTAAAATTGTTAATCTTGATGTTTGCAAGAAAAATAAAAAAAAAGTAATGATTCAGTTATATTTCCTAATAAAAACAACTGTGTTGAAGTAATATTTCAAAAATATTTCTCTAGCCACCTTTGAAGCTTAGGCCTTACTCAGCATTAATTAAGAACAGTATTAGCGTTACATTAAATGGTAACAAGGTGTTTATTGTCAATCAAATATTTCCACAGGCTAACCCACAAAATCAGTTCCTACTTCCAAACAAACGACATAGCCCACAACATCTTTATATGTCGTGGTGTTGTATTTGGTGAGGCGAGGAACAGCTCTCAGACAACTATCAGGCTCTTTATATGGCCCAGGAAGAAGTTTATAGGTGAGTCATGTCTGAATTGTACACTGTTAGCTTTGTTGTCAAGCAATGTAAATAAATGGAGTTTGGTTTCATAAACAATCTGTTGTGCACTAGTACAGCTTTCTTCATTTTCTAACACAGTGTTATTTTGTTGCTTGGTTTTTCCATTTTTTAAAGCATTTTTTTGAGTGTTTCTCTATTCATTGATGCATCAGCCAGAAATATGGTGTGTGTCACTATCAAGGCATGAGCTTAAACATCCAGCTGTTGGCTAGGATTAATGTTATTTTCTAGATGATTTCCTGTTCTCAACGTGTACCTGCATGGTTGGAATGTGGCCTGTGTGAATACGTTTGTATCTGCATGGTTGGAATGTGGCCTGTGTGAATACGTTTGTATCTGCATGGTTGGAATGTGGCCTGGTTGAATACTTTGTACCTGCATGGTTGGAATGTGGCCTGTGTGAATAAGTTTGTACCTGCATGGTTGAAATGTGGCCTGAATAAGTTTGTACCTGCATGGTTGGAATGTGGCCTAAATATGTTTGTACCTGCATGGTTGGAATGTGGCCTGTGTGAATACGTTTGTACCAGCATGGTTGGAATGTGGCCTCTGTGAATAAGTTTGTACCTGCATGGTTGGAATGTGGCCTGTGTGAATACGTTTGTATCTGCATGGTTGGAATGTGGCCTGGTTGAATACTTTGTACCTGCATGGTTGGAATGTGGCCTGTGTGAATAAGTTTGTACCTGCATGGTTGGAATGTGGCCTAAATATGTTTGTACCTGCATGGTTGGAATGTGGCCTGTGTGAATACGTTTGTACCAGCATGGTTGGAATGTGGCCTCTGTGAATAAGTTTGTACCTGCATGGTTGGAATGTGGCCTGTGTGAATAAGTTTGTACCTGCATGGTTGGAATGTGGCCTGTGTGAATAAGTTTGTACCTGCATGGTTGGAATGTGGCCTGTGTGAATAAGTTTGTACCTGCATGGTTAGAATGTGGCCTGTGTGAATACGTTTGTACCTGCATGGTTGGAATGTGGCCTGTGTGAATAAGTTTGTACCTGCATGGTTGGAATGTGGCCTGTGTGAATACGTTTGTACCTGCATGGTTGGAATGTGGCCTGTGTGAATACGTTTGTACCTGCATGGTTGGAATGTGGCCTAAATACGTTTGTACCTGCATGGTTGGAATGTGGCCTGTGTGAATACGTTTGTACCTGCATGGTTGGAATGTGGCCTGTGTGAATACGTTTGTACCTGCATGGTTGGAATGTGGCCTAAATACGTTTGTACCTGCATGGTTGGAATGTGGCCTGTGTGAATACGTTTGTACCTGCATGGTTGGAATGTGGCCTGTGTGAATACGTTTGTACCTGCATGGTTGGAATGTGGCCTGTGTGAATACGTTTGTACCTGCATGGTTGGAATGTGGCCTGTGTGAATACGTTTGTACCTGCATGGTTGGAATGTGGCCTGTGTGAATAAGTTTGTACCTGCATGGTTGGAATGTGGCCTGTGTGAATACGTTTGTACCTGCATGGTTGGAATGTGGCCTGTGTGAATACGTTTGTACCTGCATGGTTGGAATGTGGCCTAAATACGTTTGTACCTGCATGGTTGGAATGTGGCCTGTGTGAATACGTTTGTACCTGCATGGTTGGAATGTGGCCTGTGTGAATACGTTTGTACCTGCATGGTTGGAATGTGGCCTGTGTGAATACGTTTGTACCTGCATGGTTGGAATGTGGCCTGTGTGAATACGTTTGTACCTGCATGGTTGGAATGTGGCCTGTGTGAATAAGTTTGTACCTGCATGGTTGGAATGTGGCCTAAATACGTTTGTACCTGCATGGTTGGAATGTGGCCTGTGTGAATACGTTTGTACCTGCATGGTTGGAATGTGGCCTGTGTGAATCTATTTACTGTTGTATGACTGTCATTAACTCAAGTGTGTGTGGTGTAATTGTCATTAACTCAAGTGTGAGTGGTGTAATTGTCATTAACTCAAGTGTGTCTGCTGTGGTTGACTGTCACCCATTGTTTGTTATGCAAGTGAAATCCACACCAAAATCTATTTATTCTACCCTGGCAAAGGAAGATAACAGTAAACTGTTGTAGTGTTAAAATATAGCTGATGTTAAAAATGATTGGTGTCACCAGTTCTGCCCATATCAAACAATTGGTTTGTTATCTCCCTTTAAAAGTTTAATTAATTAAACTAGTCTCTCTCTTACTATTTATTTATTTTCTTAAAAAAATTATTTTTTTCTGAAGTTAACCAACCAAAAGGTAGGTCAATCTGATGTATATTTACCTCGTCCTTTGGACCTCTATCTTGTACCCAAGTTAATAAAAAAAAATAACTTGATCAAGATAGACATTTGGATTAACTTGGTCATGTTGTGGGTTTCTCTATGTGGAGCTTTTCTTTATTTCAAGCACTACAGCTTTTTTTCACACATATTTATGTAGTCCATGTGTCAAAGTCTTGCTGATCCATTCGTTAAATAATTGTATCGCTATTTTAAAATATTTAAACACTTAAAATAACCATGCTTTCTCGTGAGTGTATAGCAAATGCAGTGTTTATTTAGTCAGCATTCATGGTCATATTAACATGTTTACCAACAATGAAGATTTAGCCATCTAAGATCTTTATTTTTCATTTCATCCAGATATAAAGATTTAAACATTGAAGTTCTTTATATCAACATTATCTTTTAACGATGAAAATATAATAAGTCACGGTTTTTATTAATCACCATCCCCCACCCTACATTGAGGCTGTTTTTATGACTGTCATGTGATGTATAAATATAGATCTAGTTGATTACAGGCCTAACTAGATATTGCAGAACATATATAAATATTGGTCTCTCATAATAACATGTAGGTACTCACTGAAATCTCATATTGATTTATTCTATCTTATAGCTGATTTCTATATTAAGGCTTATTTACTATTATTTTTAGTTTAATCTTCTAGTTTTATTTTTTTTTAAATAAATGTTTTCATTTGAGGTGAATCCCTCCCTATAATGAGGGCTTATCTTGGATATGTTTAAGTTAATTTATTTTAGTGTAATAATTAACTTCTCTTTTACAATCTAAAAGGAATTAGTTTTTAAACCTAACCTCTTGTTTAAGTTAAAGACAAGGTTGTATGGTTAGAAGTTTTAAACCTAATGAAACAACATTTTATAATTCTTAAAGGGGATAACTAGACTTTACTATAATCTTGTAAAAGGGAGGAGGGTACATGTTTAACATCATTTTCAATAAACATGGTAGTTATCTTAGATTTATGTTCCTTTTATATGTATACAATCTATTAATATGGCTTATGCTAATGTTTTTCAAGCCTTGCTATTTAAATAGACAATGTATTCCTTGATGTAATTAATGAATCCAATTAAAACAATGTATTTCTTGATGCCATTAATAAATCCATTTAAAAAAACCAATGTATTTCTTGATGTAGGTAATAAATCCTCTGAGGACTTTAATGTTGCCTGTATTGAGCTGGGAGGCCACCTGCCTATCAAAGGTTAGTCTTGTATTTAGTTTCTAATTTTCTTATTCAAGACAATGCACAATATCTGTGATTCCTCAGAAAAGGGGCACAACTCATGTCATGTATTATGTGATTTGTAAGTCAGGCATTTCTTTTCTTTATGTTTGCCAGAAGTGGATGGCTACAACACACTGACAGAGGCAGACGTTGATGACATCATAGCTGACGCCTGTCTGCCCCCTGACCAGTACCAGAAGATAAAATCTGATATCACAAAGTTAGGACTGGAAGAGGATAGTTGACCATTGGACCAGACTTACAGGGATAGTTGACCATTGGACCAAACTTGTACAGGGATAGTTGACCATTGGACCAAACTTGTACAGGGATAGTTGACCATTGGACCAGACTTACAGGGATAGTTGACCATTGGACCAAACTTGTACAGGGATAGTTGACCATTGGACCAAACTTGTACAGGGATAGTTGACCATTGGACCAGAAGATAAAATCTGATATCACAAAGTTAGGACTGGAATAGGATAGTTGACCATTCAAGTACTATACTTCATAACTTAAGGAAATAGTGTTGGTCAATTTATTTAGTATATAAGATTAAAAAATAATATTTCATTGTAATTCTAAAATACAAAAGGAATATAGCCAATTTATACCTTTCTTTAACTAACTTTAGTTTTTGTCAATTCAGGTTTTTCCTTATATTAACTTCATACTGATTAGTTTTTTAATGGGTTTTTATTGTTCTATACACTGTTTTGTACAGGAATAGTTACAGTGATGGAACTGTTCTATTTATGTAGATCAAGTTCTTCCCTCAGTGGCACTATGTGATACTGGTACTTTAATTAAAGAGTTTTCTGTTACTTGCAGCCAACCATCCATTCAATCCTAGGATCAGTGTCTGGCGTCAGTTGGTTCTAGCCTCTGATGCTATTGGTGTACATATACAGGATATTTATTCTCCTCATGTGTTGATGACTTGTTAAACTGCCTTATTTAGTTCATGGAATTTTTATTGATTGAAATATTTATATATGTATATGATATTTTGAGGATTCTTAAAAAGGTATTATTCATACTCAATATGTATATGTTACTGTGGGATTTCTATGGTCAAAAATTGACTGGATTTATAGATGAGGTATTTAGTTGTTTTTTTACATTTTAACCTGGGTATAAAATTGTAGAGTGCTTTATTAATTATTAATGGTATCTATGCCTTTAGTTCATGGCTACCTGTGTGTCAATGTCTGTAAAGACAATAGTAAACCTTTCAGTGAACCTACAATTTATAAACAGCTGTCAATGCATACAGTTTGATGTTTTTTTTTCCTTATTGTCATAGGTTGTCAACACTTTTTCATTTAGTTATTTATGGGACATTCCAAACTGCTACTGTCATTGCTGTTCATTCTTACTGGCACAAGATTTAAGTTTTGTTTCATTTTTATGCAACTTGGTAGTGTGATAAAAAAATTGTTGATCACCATATAAATCAAGTTTCTGCCAGTGTTTGTATGCAACATTACATGTAGCTAACATAAAAAAAAAATGCTGATTTATGTGTGATGGACAGGAATTGTCTTTTTTTAATTTCTTATTGTAGACATGTAAAGATTGCAGTGTTATTTAGTAACTTCAGAATTGAACAACTTTTAAAAAGAACAAAATAAAAATGTATCAAAGTACACCTACACATTTCTCCACATGCGGTTTATTATGGATGATGATGTTGCTGTAACCTCAGCATGTAATGGTAGACTTACGTGGTGTTGTAGTGGTATTTTTTTTGTTATATCAGGCTTCAATGTGGTGTGTGGGTGGAAATACTAATGAAAATAGCATAAGTATGGCCTGCTGGTGGTAAAGTAAATGAGCAACTGGGGGAGGGGCTAGAATTGTGACAGTTGTAGATGTGGTCAGCAGTTTAGTGAAGATTGAAGTTTTTTGTATAAATTTTGTGAACGACTTCATTTGCTGTGATTCTATGATAGCATTTATATGCACAAAGAGAAATTAAAACTTTAAGCATATCTGCAGTGTTTGTTTTCTTGAATATTTTAAATTGTTTAGCTGTCATATTGGTCTGTGTGATGTTTCATAGAGCTAACACAACATACACCAGAAACAGGTAAATAATAGACTAAATTAACCACTGGTAACCAAGAAGGTGAAAAGAGCATAATGAGAATTCCACAACCCCCCCCCCCCCTTTGCCCTGGAGAACATGCACCTGTTAACCTACTCTTTTCTCTTTGCCCCATAGATCCTGCATATACCACAACCGTTTACCCTCATGAGACTCCCCGGGGGTGCCCCCCCCCCTTAGACCCACTCCCCGGGGGTGATGTTTAGCCCCCCTCCCCGGGGGTGATGTTTAGCCCCCCTCCCCGGGGGTGATGTTTAGCCCCCCTCCCCGGGGGTGATGTTTAGCCCCCCTCCCCGGGGGTGATGTTTAGCCCCCCTCCCCGGGGGTGATGTTTAGCCCCCCTCCCCGGGGGTGATGTTTAGCCCCCCTCCCCGGGGGTGATGTTTAGCCCCCCTCCCCGGGGGTGATGTTTAGCCCCCCTCCCCGGGGGTGATGTTTAGCCCCCCTCCCCGGGGGTGATGTTTAGCCCCCCTCCCCGGGGGTGATGTTTAGCCCCCCTCCCCGGGGGTGATGTTTAGCCCCCCTCCCCGGGGGTGATGTTTAGCCCCCCTCCCCGGGGGTGATGTTTAGCCCCCCTCCCCGGGGGTGATGTTTAGCCCCCCTCCCCGGGGGTGATGTTTAGCCCCCCTCCCCGGGGGTGATGTTTAGCCCCCCTCCCCGGGGGTGATGTTTAGCCCCCCTCCCCGGGGGTGATGTTTAGCCCCCCTCCCCGGGGGTGATGTTTAGCCCCCCTCCCCGGGGGTGATGTTTAGCCCCCCTCCCCGGGGGTGATGTTTAGCCCCCCTCCCCGGGGGTGATGTTTAGCCCCCCTCCCCGGGGGTGATGTTTAGCCCCCCTCCCCGGGGGTGATGTTTAGCCCCCCTCCCCGGGGGTGATGTTTAGCCCCCCTCCCCGGGGGTGATGTTTAGCCCCCCTCCCCGGGGGTGATGTTTAGCCCCCCTCCCCGGGGGTGATGTTTAGCCCCCCTCCCCGGGGGTGATGTTTAGCCCCCCTCCCCGGGGGTGATGTTTAGCCCCCCTCCCCGGGGGTGATGTTTAGCCCCCCTCCCCGGGGGTGATGTTTAGCCCCCCTCCCCGGGGGTGATGTTTAGCCCCCCTCCCCGGGGGTGATGTTTAGCCCCACTCCCCGGGGGTGATGTTTAGCCCCACTCCCCGGGGGTGATGTTTAGCCCCACTCCCCGGGGGTGATGTTTAGCCCCACTCCCCGGGGGTGATGTTTAGCCCCACTCCCCGGGGGTGATGTTTAGCCCCACTCCCCGGGGGTGATGTTTAGCCCCACTCCCCGGGGGTGATGTTTAGCCCCACTCCCCGGGGGTGATGTTTAGCCCCACTCCCCGGGGGTGATGTTTAGCCCCACTCCCCGGGGGTGATGTTTAGCCCCACTCCCCGGGGGTGATGTTTAGCCCCACTCCCCGGGGGTGATGTTTAGCCCCACTCCCCGGGGGTGATGTTTAGCCCCACTCCCCGGGGGTGATGTTTAGCCCCACTCCCCGGGGGTGATGTTTAGCCCCACTCCCCGGGGGTGATGTTTAGCCCCACTCCCCGGGGGTGATGTTTAGCCCCACTCCCCGGGGGTGATGTTTAGCCCCACTCCCCGGGGGTGATGTTTAGCCCCACTCCCCGGGGGTGCCCTCCCCCTTAGCCCCACTCCCCGGGGGTGCCCTCCCCCTTAGCCCCACTCCCCGGGGGTGCCCTCCCCCTTAGCCCCACTCCCCGGGGGTGCCCTCCCCCTTAGCCCCACTCCCCGGGGGTGCCCTCCCCCTTAGCCCCACTCCCCGGGGGTGCCCTCCCCCTTAGCCCCACTCCCCGGGGGTGCCCTCCCCCTTAGCCCCACTCCCCGGGGGTGCCCTCCCCCTTAGCCCCACTCCCCGGGGGTGCCCTCCCCCTTAGCCCCACTCCCCGGGGGTGCCCTCCCCCTTAGCCCCACTCCCCGGGGGTGCCCTCCCCCTTAGCCCCACTCCCCGGGGGTGCCCTCCCCCTTAGCCCCACTCCCCGGGGGTGCCCTCCCCCTTAGCCCCACTCCCCGGGGGTGCCCTCCCCCTTAGCCCCACTCCCCGGGGGTGCCCTCCCCCCTTAGCCCCACTCCCCGGGGGTGCCCTCCCCCTTAGCCCCACTCCCCGGGGGTGCCCTCCCCCCTTAGCCCCACTCCCCGGGGGGTGCCCTCCCCCTTAGCCCCACTCCCCGGGGGTGCCCTCCCCCTTAGCCCCACTCCCCGGGGGTGCCCTCCCCCCTTAGCCCCACTCCCCGGGGGTGCCCTCCCCCTTAGCCCCACTCCCCGGGGGTGCCCTCCCCCTTAGCCCCACTCCCCGGGGGTGCCCTCCCCCTTAGCCCCACTCCCCGGGGGTGCCCTCCCCCTTAGCCCCACTCCCCGGGGGTGCCCTCCCCCTTAGCCCCACTCCCCGGGGGTGCCCTCCCCCTTAGCCCCACTCCCCGGGGGTGCCCTCCCCCTTAGCCCCACTCCCCGGGGGTGCCCTCCCCCTTAGCCCCACTCCCCGGGGGTGCCCTCCCCCTTAGCCCCACTCCCCGGGGGTGCCCTCCCCCTTAGCCCCACTCCCCGGGGGTGCCCTCCCCCTTAGCCCCACTCCCCGGGGGTGCCCTCCCCCTTAGCCCCACTCCCCGGGGGTGCCCTCCCCCTTAGCCCCACTCCCCGGGGGTGCCCTCCCCCTTAGCCCCACTCCCCGGGGGTGCCCCTCCCCCTTAGCCCCACTCCCCGGGGTGCCCTCCCCCCTTAACCTCTTTACCTAACCCCTACCCACCCATGAGAACATCTCCCCCCCCCTTTCCCCTACATTTTTTTTGACAGTAACCCTATTAAAGTATATATATCTAGAAAGAAAACAACACTAGAGTTGGCAGAAAAAAATATTCTGCCTATTTTTTTTTATAGACGTACATTTTATTCTTTTGCCAATTTAAGATTCATTTTAAATGCACATTTTTTTTTCTCCACATTGAAGAAAAGAATATTAGCGTTCTTTAGAGTTATTATTTCTTTTTAAAAACTAACAACCATTTTGATTTACTGTTAAATTGGCAAAAGAAAAAAATATAATTTTCAGTAAAGCACTTTTTGCACTGGACAATCTTCTGACAGGAGCGTCTCTGGTATGTGACAATCTTCTTACAGGGGCGTCTCTGGTATGTGGCAATCTTCTGACAGGGGCGTCTCTGTTGTGGTATGTGACAATCTTCTGACAGGGGCGTCTCTGTTGTATGTGACAATATTCTGACAGGGGCGTCTCTGTTGTGGTATGTGACAATCTTCTGACAGGGGGCGTCTCTGTTGTGGTATGTTACAATCTTCTGACAGGGGCGTCTCTGGTATGTGACAATCTTCTGACAGGGGCGTCTCTGTTGTGGTATGTTACAATCTTCTGACAGGGGCGTCTCTGGTATGTGACAATCTTCTGACATGGGCGTCTCTGTTGTGGTATGTGACAATCTTCTGACAGGGGCGTCTCTGGTATGTGACAATCTTCTGACAGGGGCGTCTCTGTTGTGGTATGTGACAATCTTCTGACAGGGGGCGTCTCTTGTATGTGACAATCTTCTGACAGGGGCGTCTCTGTTGTGGTATGTGACAATCTTCTGACAGGGGCGTCTCTTGTATGTGACAATCTTCTGACAGGGGCGTCTCTGTTGTGGTATGTGACAATCTTCTGACAGGGGGCGTCTCTGTTGTGGTATGTGACAATCTTCTGACAGCGGCGTCCTCATCTTCCTTATGTACGAGACTTCAGGCAATATGTGTGGTTGCCGGCTGATCAGGTAGGTTGCGAGAAACACTTGGCACAGACATCTCCTGTTGAAAAAAAATGCATCTGATTATTGTTTTATTTACAAGGTCCCTTCAAGTCTAAACGACGTACATGCAGCTTTAAAACAAATCAGATTTCCGTGCCGTGTGAGCCTCATTAGAACGAATGTTTACATCAAGCCCCAACAGTTTCTTCCAGGCATCTCTTCGGGGAGGGGAGGGGGGCCAAAGCCCCCCAGAAAAAATTCTACCGCCCCCCCCCCCGAACGAAATGAAAATTATATAATTTATATAGAAAATATATACTTTTAACAGTGTCCGCCCCCCCCCCAAAAAAAAAAGTCTACCGCCCCCCCCCCCCCCCGAAAATTTCAAATGCCCCCCGGAGAAAAAAGTCTGGAAGAAACACTGAGCTCCAAACGTCTGCACAGATTAAAAAAAACAACTTCCCATTATAAACTTCTATTGACCATTTGATGTCGTGTAATGACCTAAGTTTGTATGACCGTTTGCATTCTTTTTTTATGTTTCGATGCCTACTGATACACCTGTCAACAGTAGATCTCTACTTGAACTTATTTTCGTATGCAGGTTACTTATGTAGAGCAAGTCGATTGGGGTGGGGTGTGCCTTTGATTTCAAATATGTGTATTAATATTTGGAATGTGTGAGGAGTTTACGCCTGTTAGTGTGTATATAGTTTTCTACTATCCTGGAGCGTACAGAGGAACATCTTTACCTCTCTCTGATATTTCTTTTCTAGATTAGATCTAGACAATCTTTCTAAGCATTTTAGTGTTGTAGCCTTAATATTTCCTATATATTTCAGCTTCATATAATAAAAGATAAATCTGAGCTGTGATAAACAGCCATCTGTCACCCCATTAAAAGAGGGTTCTCTTGTGTCGGTTTTTAATAAATGTCGGTGCCTGTTCGTCATCATGTGTTATAAAATGCAGTTTCCTTGTCTTAAAAGTGCGAGTTCTTTTTGAGAGCGCTTAAATTTGCATTCTATTTTTGTAATATATACAAATTCTCTATATAATTTAAAATACTCTATAAAACCAAGAACCTGTACTCAATAAACTCAAGAACCTGTACTCAATAAACTCAAGAACCTGTACTCTATAAAAACCAAGAACCTGTACTCTATAAACTCAAGAACCTGTACTCTATAAAACCAAGAACCTGTACTCAATAAACTCAAGAACCTGTACTCTATAAAACCAAGAACCTGTACTCAATAAACTCAAGAACCTGTACTCTATAAAACCAAGAACCTGTACTCTATAAAAACCAAGAACCTGTACTCTATAAAACCAAGAACGTGTACTCTATAAAACCAAGAACGTGTACTCTATAAAACCAAGAACCTGTACTCTATAAAACCAAGAACCTGTACTCTATAAAACCAAGAACGTGTACTCTATAAAACCAAGAACATGTACTGTATAAAACCAAGAACATGTACTGTATAAAACCAAGAACATGTACTGTATAAAACCAAGAACATGTACTGTATAAACTCAAGAACCTGAACTCTATAAAACTCAAAAACCTGAACTCTATAAACTCAAAAACCTGAACTCTATAAACTCAAAAACCTGTACTCTATAAACTCAAAAACCTGAACTCTATAAAACCAAGAACCTGAACTCTATAAAACCAAGAACCTGAACTCTATAAAACCAAGAACCTGAACTCTATAAAACCAAGAACCTGAACTCTATAAACTCAAGAACCTGAACTCTATAAACTCAAGAACCTGAACTCTATAAACTCAAGAACCTGAACTCTATAAACTCAAGAACCTGAACTCTATAAAACTCAAGAACCTGAACTCTATAAACTCAAGAACCTGAACTCTATAAACTCAAGAACCTGAACTCTATAAACTCAAGAACCTGAACTCTATAAACTCAAGAACCTGAACTCTATAAACTCAAGAACCTGAACTCTATAAACTCAAGAACCTGAACTCAACTCAAGAACTTGAACTCAACTCAAGAACTTGAACTCTATAAAACCAAGAACTTGAACTCTATAAAACCAAGAACCTGAACTCTATAAAACCAAGAACCTGAACTCTATAAACTCAAGAACCTGAAACTCTATAAACTCAAGAACCTGAACTCTATAAACTCAAGAACCTGAACTCTATAAACTCAAGAACCTGAACTCTATAAACTCAAGAACCTGAACTCTATAAAACCAAGAACCTGAACTCTATAAAACCAAGAACCTGAACTCTATAAAACCAAGAACCTGAACTCTATAAAACCAAGAACCTGTAGGCCTACTCTATACAACAAAGAACATGTACTCTATAAAAATCAGGAAACTATTCAATAAAAAACATCCAAAAAAACTTCTTAACACGTCAATAACTAACTTCTGAGACAAAATTGCATTAAAATAATACAAAAAAACTACTTACTTTGGATTGTTCCGTATCTGTTTATATGAAACGTTTGGGTTGGATATTTTAATTGAAGTCAACATCGTCTACAAAGTCCTGACATTTATAGAAAGTGTTGACATCCTCTTCAGTGTGCTGACATCTTTTGCAAAGTGCTGATTCTTCTATTTATTGTTTATCCCAGCTATCATCCTACTTGTCAAGAGAAGGTCGACTGTAAAAAAAAATGTATACACCAAACCTAAATACAAGAATTAACACTCATTAATTACTTGTACACTCAGGAGACACACAACCATGGAGATTTATACGGAAAAATAGGAAGAACATTTTTATATTTAATCAGTAACGGTTCGTTGGTAGAATTAAAAAAAAAAATTAATCGTGATTAGATGGTAAAACGAACGTCTTGAATTCGAATACGGGTTCGAATTTGTCGGCGTTCCCTGAGTTCACCCAGCAATGACGGGTACCTGACTCGCGTTAAGGCAAACCAATGCGGCCGACCACACTATTAATATTCAGAGGTCAATGATACAGAGAAGCTCTACTTCATCTACCCCCATGTGTCGTGGATATGAACGGGAAAAGACGATTAATTACTAAAATTATTAGCTAATACATAGCTGACTTAGGCTGCATATCGACTTTTTAATGTGTGTTTATCATTAGGAATCGAAACATTTTTTAACTGACAGGAGGAGACTTTACCTAGATCTATATGATTATGATATAGGCTATGTGACAATTGAACGACACCTTATCACATTTAATACACTAAAAATGCATAGCCCAACAGAGTACAAAAACTATATTTACAATTATTTGGGCTGCACAATCACGTAGACCTAATATTTTTTTTATTTTTTTCTACATACCCGAGAAATAATCCTACTGTGAATGAAATCCGCTGTAACTCCTACACAATGAAAGAAGTTGATACTAAAGCATAAAAGATGCCTAGCAGGCGTCTGCTTCATCGTCTGGTCACATTAAAAATGCGGTTGGCGGGAGTTTCTAAATATGATATTTGTAAACAAACAAGTGAACAGTTTTTTGGTTTGGCCAGATTTACCTGGGTAGTGGCATAATGGGAACAAAAGCTTCACAAAATATGATGTTCTTCAGTCTAGGGACTAAATTTAGTCATCTGACCCCCCCCCCCCCCGCCCGCCCCCATGTTTGCCTATATTATAGCTGAGGCGGGGGCGTGGGGTGCGGACCGCATCGGGTGACACCAATGGGGGAGGGGGTAACACCAAGACAAAAAAAATGAAAAATATATAGAAGAAAAATGCTGTTTGCCTGATCAATTAATAATTCACTCACGTTAAAAAGTCTTAAGTTTTCAATTGACGATCCCGAGCAAACCATGCAATTTTTCTTCAATCCTTTTGAATTAAAATAATGTGTTCACAAATTCACGCGATTTTGCAAAATGGGAGAGGATAAAATAAACGTGTCTAACGAGTTTGTTTTTCTCCTCCCTTTTAGAGTGTATCGGAAGTGAGTTCGGTAAGTGTCATTAAAACGCAATATCAGTCAATCGCAACTTTTTGTTTCTTTTCCATGAATTGTTAAACCCGCTGGTCTGGTTACTCGCAGAGTTTCTTCCAGGCATCTCTTCGGGGGGAGGGGGGGGGGGGTCTCCCCCCCCCTACGAAGAAAGTCTACCGCCCCCCCCCCCACCCCTCCCCCCAACGAGATAGCATTTTTTAGTAAACATATACTTTTACTAGCGTCCGCCGCCCCGAAAAATGTTGACCGCCCCCCGAAAATATCAACTGCTTTCCCGGAGAAAAAAGTCTGGAAGAAACACTGGTTTACTCGTATCTCAAATTTTGTTCTCGGTGCATTTCTATGACGGGGCACTCGAATGTCGAGGTGCCATAATCTCTCGGAAATATAATGGTATTTTACATTTTTTTTTCCTCACGTAAAGGTGTTTGTTGGCGACATGTCTCCTACATATTTATATTTTTAAAATGGTATCCCACCTTTCTGTATCTCACAACACATTCAAGTCAATAACACAAGTCATGTGTATAGGCCTAGAAAAACATTCAGTCCTTCTTTCCTTTTGTGTACATTAAGATTCGTATGTTGTCAAATGTAAATAATTTTAGCGAAAATTGTAAAGTTTAAAAAAAATAAAAAATAAAAAAAACGCATATAGAGGACCATTTGGCAATTCACTGATGTTTGTATACAAAGGGGGGTAATTGAGCTAGTGAATTTAAATTAGTGAATTCGTGTTCACGTCATTCTTGTTGTGGTTAGAATAGACAACACAGCATACACCAGCTTCATCAAGGCTATTTCATGTTTCTAATGAAAGCACCAAATGTAAGGATAGACGAAACAGCCCTACATTAACTTCAACAAGCCAGTTTCATGTTTCGAATGAAACCAAGGTAATATCTATTTTCTTAATTTTTAAGTAGTAACTTAAAAATTTACGCTTGTATGGTCTTTCACAACATCGCATGTTTTTACACCGTACCTCTTACCGTCAAAATGTTCATAGCAGCCATAAAATGACGCTCCGACTTCTCTCCTTTCTAAAAAAAGAATATTATTACTAAAATTAAGATTATTTCAATATTTTCATATTTTTGTTCTTCAAATACTTCAAAATAAGTGCTTTGTCACATTGCTCAACCTAATTTACCCCTCCCCCTTTTTTTACTGCTTAGCACAGCTTGACGTCATTAACGAACGACCATTTTTTTGTTTTAGGGTGTCATCCATAAATGAAGTCAAGATTTTTAACTATTTTTACCCCCCCCCCCCCTTCCGTCACACGTCGTCGCAAAAGCTAGACCCCCCCCCCCCCTAAAATGTCGTCACACCTCACCCTACAACCCCCATCCCCCCGCCCTCAAAATTGCAGTTGAATTTTTTTTAAACATCGATATTTTTCCAAAATCTTGTATGAACTCTGGCAATATAGAGTATTTTAATCAACTCCTATTACAATTTATTAAAACAATTTTCTAAAACGCAAAAACGTCTAAAATTCGGTTTTTTAACGTTGCTTTTTTTATAATGCAAAAGCGTGACGTCGCACCATCTAACCCCCCCCCCTCATCACACACCGTCACAAAATTACGGACCCCCCCTCCCCCTATGAGTATGAAGTCATTTATGGACGACCCCCTTATTAAATGAAATAGGTTATAGATATATGTTTTTCTCTTTATGTAATTAAGAAAGGGAGATAATTTTATAAATTGTTGATCTAAATTTTGAGATGTCTGGGGACCAAAGTGACCCACAGAGGTAAAGCACTTAAAAAACACCTGTCTATGCCACTACCACTAGATGTGCTAACACTGATAATGTGCTGTCGACTGGTAGTCAGTTTTGTGTAATATGTTTAAATACACTCTAAGACTCTAGTTGTAACGTGAACTTTATGCCCCCCCCCCAAGATACAAGTAGTACAGGTATTACAGGCCTAGATGAAGTACTTACATTAATTGTAAACCATAGGTTTTCTACCTGTTTAAAATCCCTTCTATAAACAACTTCTATCTATTTTGATTGTATGTGGTCGGTTTATTTTAGAAATAAAATAAAAACATGTTGAAAACAATTTTTATGTAATATTAAACGTGGGAGAATTTTAATAATTCAGTTCTATGATAGAACTTGTAGTGCACAATTAATGTCAAAAAAGTATACTTACATTAATTAGCACATTGTGCTGTTCTATTATAAGCATTTCATCATATACGTGGCATTTTACAGCTTAACGTCAGAAAATGTTGGTATTTTTAACATACAAATTATGGCGTCTGAAAATGACGACTCATCTTTAATTAACCGTTATGTAACATGATCATTAACCCTTACCATCCTACACAATCTCTCTACACATACCATCCTATAGGTTGTGTAGAAAAATGAGAATTTCTGTCAGTCAAGAGAAGTCGTATGTCAACAACTTGGAACCTTCAGTCAGTCAAGTCAAGTCAACAAATTGAAACCTTCTGTCAGTCAAGTGAAGTCAACAAATTGAAACCTTCTGTCAGTCAAGTGAAGTCAACAAATTGAAACCTTCTGTCAGTCAAGTGAAGTCCAACCAAATTGAAAACCTTCTGTCAGTCAAGTGAAGTCAACAAATTGAAACCTTCTGTCAGTCAAGTGAAGTCAACAAATTGAAACCTTCTGTCAGTCAAGTGAAGTCATATGTCAACAAATTGAAACCTTCTGTCAGTCAAGTGTAGTCATATGTCAACAAACTGGTAACCTCTGTAAGTCATGTGAAGTCAAATGTCAACCCAATGACAATCTTCCTAATTGTCTCCCTTTCAAGGTTTTGAATAAATTTTTTCAACTTGAAATTTCAATGTTTGATACTAAATGTCTTTTTTTATTTATTTATTTTTAAAAATAGTCTACTGAATTATTTCAAATAACAAACAAAATCAGAGCAAGAAGGATTTTAACAGCTGCTAGTCAGTATAAAATTGTTAAAATAAAACAATGTATTTCCTTTCTTTTAACTAGATTGTTGCTTTTACCAAACGTCCGCGCTGGACTAAGATTTTGCCTTGTGACGAATGGTTCAAGCATCGGTTTGATTCAAGTCTGTTCACTCTGGCAGAAGTAGAACTTCAGGATGAAAACTCAACTACCCATCTGAGGAAAGGAGTCATTGACAATGAAGACTCTGACTCCTGGTTTGTCTATTCCAACCCAACAGTAAACTATTCAGTCTTTCATTGTATTTTAGTATTAATAAGCTTTTACTTTCATTGAATATTAGTTTAATAAGCTTTTATATGATGCAGTTTAGAAAAAAAAAAATAGCCATTTTGTTTTAAATTGTGCTATTGCTATCAGTATTTTTCAGCACTTAAAACAGGACACAAAATGCAATTTAATCTAATTTAACACCACAGCATACTGTATGAATGAATCATATGTCTACTATAAGCAGACATTGGGAATTTTAAAGGCACTTCATGTATAGAGGACATGATAGCCCACTGCTTTCTGTACCGAGGACAATCGAAGGCTTATTACAAGTATAGAGAATGCGAGAGCCCACCCACTGAGGACACCACAAGCCCACCAATAGAGTACACTACAAGACCACCAAGTGAAAACAGGCCCACCAATAGAGTACACTACAAGCCCACCAATAGAGTACACTACAAGCCCACCAATAGAGTACACTACAAGCCCACCAAGTGAGGACACTACAACCCACCCAATAGAGGACACTACAAGCCCACCAATAGAGGACACTACAAGCCCACCAATAGAAGGACACAAGTCCCACCAATAGAGGACACAAGCCCACCAATAGAGGACACAAGCCCACCAATAGAGGACACAAGCCCACCAATAGAGGGCACAGGCGCACCAATAGAGGACACTACAAGCGCACCAATAGAGGGACACAAGCCCACCAATAGAGGACATAGGCGCACCAATAGAGGACACAAGCCCACCAATAGAGGACACAAGCCCACCAATAGAGGACACAGCAGGCCCACCAATAGAGGACACAGGCCCACCAATAGAGGACCACAGGCCCACCAATAGAGGACACAGGCCCACCAATAGAGGACACAGGCCCACCAATAGAGGACACCAGGCCCACCAATAGAGGACACAGGCCCCACCAATAGAGGACACAGGCCCACCAATAGAGGACACAGGCCCACCAATAGAGGACACAGGCCCACCAATAGAGGACACAGGCCCACCAATAGAGGACACAGGCCCACCAATAGAGGACACAGGCCCACCAATAGAGGACACAAACCCACCAATAGAGGACACAAGCCACACCAATAGAGGACACAGGTGCACCAATAGAGGACACTACAAGCCCACCAATAGAGGACACAAGCCCACCCAATAGAGGACACAAGCCCACCAATAGAGGACACAAGCCCACCAGTTAAGACTACAAGCCCACCAGTTAAGACTACAAACCCACCAGTTAAGACTACAAACCCACCAATA